ATTACGACGCGCTGTCACTGTGACTGACTTACTGAGGTAGTTCTTATCAGACATTTCTCATCTTCTGAGGATATTATTTGAACACATTTGTTGTAAAGAACTACAAAAATTGTTCCTGTGGAGCATGTGGAGCATACATACGTTCATGTCACTTCTCGTTTTTAGGAACTATTTTATTCCGCGATACAGCTGGTTGTTGTATGGCTGTCAGTGTAAACATGAAGTCACACGTACTAAATGTTGCGTATAGATTTAAATCCTTTGAGGTAAAAAATAGTGATGTAAAAAATTATAAGAATTGACATACCTGTTACAGAACGGATGGATCTCCGGACGCTACGTCAACATACGGAGTTGTTCGGGTAGTTCCGGCTCTTCAGGTAAAACCCTACTTCACTTCACCTTTTGTTTCTCTTAAGGACTATTAATGCATCAATTTATGTAGGTCAGTAATGTCACATCACAAATGCATTATAAACTCATCTCATGAGGGTTCGTTACACAGCGATATAAGAAATTAATCAGCGTTTAAAGTGGTGAGTTCAGTTGTGATGCTCATGAAGTTTTATGAATTATTTTATCTTGATGTTTAGCAGAGCAAATCGTTTAGCAGAGTCCAAACACAAGGCACAGACACGTATGAAATTTATGTAAATAAAATAGGCCAATTTTTTTTCTATAATTATAGTGAGTGAGTATGGTTTTACGCCGCTTTTAGCAATATTCCAGCAATATCACGGCGGGGACACCAGAAATGGGCTTCACACATCGTACCCATGTCGGGAATCGAACCCGGGTCTTCAGTGTGACGAGCGAACGCTTTAACCACTAGGCTACCCGACCGTCCCTATATTAATAAGAAATATCAGACATCAGAATGTTGCAATCTTGATCAAACAAGAGTGTACATGTGTGTTTCTTTTCCACGAAAGATGTGAGATGCAGACACCAAGACAGGAGCTGCTTGAATATGGACATGAAGGGAAAGTTGAATATTGGAAAGTTACAGTTTTCCGTCTTGTCATACAAAAGTTAACTGTAATCATTTCTTCCCAGGGAGTACCAGCTCTGAATGTCCCCGCATTATCACCAGGGCCGAGTGGGGTGCTAGATCTCCACGTTCTACCAGCAATCTTGCCGGGGCTGTGAGATACGCCTTCATCCATCATGGACTAAGTAGTCCCTGCTCCAGTCAAAGCTCCTGCTCTGAGAGAGTCAGGAGCTATCAGAACTACCACATGAACACCCGCGGTGAGTGAGTGGGTTGTCGGGTTCGTTGTACATGAGTGAGTGAGTGAGTTGGGTTTAACGCCGCTTTTAACAGGATTCCAGTAATATTGCGGCGTGTCAGCTTAATGTCGGAGGAAAGCCCGAAGAAATGCAGGTCTTAGACGTTTACCACTTCGGTGAAACCAACGAGCACGGGTATGGTGCTGACAAACCTAGAAACATAATCGGGGCGAACTGGGATTCGAACCCACAATCATAGGTTTCTGGCGTGCCCAAGGGACGCTACTCTGCACAGCGAATCGCGGCGCCTTAGACGTCTGGGCCACCCGTGTCCCCTTGTACATGAAGAACTGTAAAAGTATATATGTCATATATTTTCATACAAGCTTATGGTGCAAATGAAACATAGGCCTGAAGCTAGAAACATGCTTTAAACTGAGTTCCTTCTCATAAAGACTGGTTAAAGCTTATAAAGAAACCATCATGAATATTAAGTAACCATAATTTGACTGGTGATCTCATTTGTCTGTTATAAACCAAATCATCATGATCATAGGTTTCTGCAAATGTGTCAGTGTTTCTATCACACCTTCAGATGTATATATACATGTAGTCAGGGATGAAGGGACTTCTTGTGATTGATTACCCCCAGGCTGGAGTGACATCGGCTACAGTTTCCTCATCGGCGAGGACGGCAACGTCTACGAGGGTCGCGGCTGGGACAGGATAGGAGCTCACACCAAGGGCTACAACAGTGTTGGTCTGGGTAAGTCTGTGACGGGACAGGGGCTCATGTCCGGGGCTACAACGGGCTCACTAACGGGGCTACAACAGTGTTGGTCTGGGTAAGTCAGTGACGGGACAGGGGCTCATGTCCGGGGCTACAATGGTTTGGGCGTGGGTGACAGGGGCTTACACACAGGACAACAACAGTGTTGGTCTGGTAGTCAGTGACGGGAGAGGGGCTTACACACAGGGCTACAACAGTGTTGGTCTGGTAGGTCAATGACGGGAGAGGGGCTTACACACAGGGCTACAACAGTGTTGGTCTGGTAAGTCAGTGACAGGAGAGAGCCTTACACACAGGGCTACAACAGTGTTGGTCTGGTAGTCAGTGACGGGAGAGGGGCTTACACACAGGGCTACAACAGTGTTGGTCTGGTAGTCAGTGACGGGAGAGAGCCTTACACACAGGGCTACAACAGTGTTGGTCTGGTAGTCAGTGTCGGGAGAGAGCCTTACACTCAGGGCTACAACAGTGTTGGTCTGGTAGTCAGTGACGGGAGAGAGCCTTACACACAGGGCTACAACAGTGTTGGTCTGGTAGTCAGTGACGGGAGAGAGCCTTACACACAGGGCTACAACAGTGTTGGTCTGGTAGTCAGTGACGGGAGAGAGCCTTACACTCAGGGCTACAACAGTGTTGGTCTGGTAGTCAGTGACGGGAGAGAGCCTTACACACAGGGCTACAACAGTGTTGGTCTGGTAGTCAGTGACGGGAGAGAGCCTTACACTCAGGGCTATAACAGTGTTGGTCTGGTAGTCAGTGACGGGAGAGAGCCTTACACTCAGGGCTACAACAGTGTTGGTCTGGTAGTCAGTGACGGGAGAGAGCCTTACACTCAGGGCTACAACAGTGTTGGTCTGGTAGTCAGTGACGGGAGAGAGCCTTACACACAGGGCTACAACAGTGTTGGTCTGGTAAGTCAGTGACAGGGCATTGGTTCACACCCGGGGCTATGGACATAATTCGGCGCAGCCTACACCATATTTCTGCTCATCAAATACGTGTGTGATTATCGTATCTGAGATAGGATATTATTTTTAATTTTATCTAGGTTTCTGCATGATTGGTGACTTCCGGAACCGCGTCCCCAACAGTGCGGCCATCAACACCGTCAAGGCTCTCATTGCTTGCGGCGTCAGGTTGGGCAGGATTCAGTCCAGCTACACCCTCAGAGGCCACCGCGACATGGTCCACACCGACTGTCCCGGAACAGCCCTGTACAATCTCATCAGAACGTGGCCACACTATTGAAATGTCTATTCCGTAAGGAATACCATGGCATAATGCTGAACTGAATAAAGAGATTTAACGACAGAATTTCACTTGAAATTTATTTTTAAAATATTATTTTTTTAATATATCGTGATCATTATTAGATGGGGACTTATTTAGTCAAATAAGACAAACTGATTCCACAGTGTTATTATCGATCATTATTGTCCGTATCCAAGATTACAATGCGAAGGTCCCTGTTTTATTTGTTTCAATGTCATCTTCCGAATATAAATAGTGTAACATCAAACCCGTGTGCGACATACGCTGCAGCCGGAAAGCGCACGTAAAATCCCCAAAGTAAGTAAGTAAGTTAGGTAATATCAAAGGTCAAGTAGGGACTACATTCAGTGTTAACAAACAGACATAGAGTCGCGCGTGTCATTCGGCGATCGAGTCAGAATTAACCATCGGGAGTGACCCGAAATGGGATGTCTTCAGATCTTTGTTTTGCGGCAGCTCCGATTATGTTTCTAGGTCTGTCAGCACCATACCCGTGCTCGTCGGTTTCACACAAGTGGTAAACGTCTTAGACCTGCATCACTTCGGGCTTTCCTCCCACATTAGTGGCAGTTGCTGACACTGGAGACATCGAGGTTCTTTGTTCCCGGCTGTAGTGATCCCCCTGTTCAAGTTGCTAACAGACCTATCCCACGAACATCGTCCGCTCTTCTGACACAATCTCACTTGACATTTTTTACATTTTGTTTACTTAGTTCCTCAATCGTGGGCCTATTAATATAAATCTAGGTAAAGATTCTGATTGTAATTAATGCAATGTGTAGTATGTAGTCATTGTATTTGTGAAAATATTGTAACCATTAACTGCAGGATGGGTACACATGATACCAAAATTGACACTCGTCAAACCAGTTTTGGTCACCACCCGTCATTGAGTGAGCGAGTATGGTTTTACGCCACTTTTGCAATATTCCAGCAATATCACGGCGGGGGACACCAGAAATAGGCTTCACACATTGTACCCATGTCGGGAATCGAACCCGGGTCTTCGGCGTGACGAGCGAACACTTTAACCACTAGGGTACCCGACCGTCCCCAACCCGTTATTGACCTTTTCAAACTGATATTGGCACTCTCTGAAACTATATTGGCATTATTTAAACACTCATTGACCCTCTTGCCATTCATACTGGCTCTTTTGAAAGCCATATTGGCTTGGTACCCCACTGTATGGTATCAATAAATGTCACAAACCCCTTTCCATGTTCATAAGAAAACTCACCGGTGCTACCCGACACCATACTCGTCCTCTTCAAATCTATATTGGCCCTCTTGAAACACGCTCTGGCTCTCTCCAAATCTGCTTCTTCAAATTCGCTCTCTGGAATCCCATATTGGCCCTGTATCACCACTGTATCGTGGACAATTCATTAACATCACATCTATATCCACATCTACTTGTAATACTATGATAACATGCCTTGCAGTCGCTGTACTATGGGCTGAGGGGCCTTTAATACCAATACCTAAATGTTACTTTATACCTCTCAGTGGCATGTGTCTATGATGTCCATGAAATATGTATCCACACGTTCTGCTCAACGAGAGCTAATTATTATTACCTAACATCCACATCTGGGAGTCACGCGTGTGCTTCAGATTGCCAATGGGCCCTGAGAAAATAACAATAAGCTCCTTGACCTCTTTTGCTGTCACTTTGCCAAACATTTTTCTAGATAATAGGCCATGTGACCCACCAGTATTCACGTCAATCTGATGCTCTGGTATGTGAAAATCCGACGGGTTATATATGTGCGAGTTGTCCTCTCTCACAGTATAGACTGGGACCACTGCTTACTCCATCGTATCGCATGACGAAGACAGGTGGGTAGCCATGGCGCATATTATTAATATAATAACATAATGTTTATAAAACGACCGACTTCCGACTTGGGTAGATGCTACACCATATTTTTACACTGGTCAATTGACCATTTTCGTTCTGAGCCTCCTATGTGACGCACTAGAAGGGTAACAGTCATCTTATCGGGTACCCATTATTCATTGATGGGTGAACAGAGTCATATTCTAATAAAAGCCTCAGGAGACACCACATGTTACATGTGCCTCTCTGTGGGACAGGACCGAAGCCTAGACTCTCAGGAGACACCACATGTTACATGTGCCTCTCTGTGGGACAGGACCGAAGCCTAGACTCTCAGGAGACACCACATGTTACATGTGCCTCTCTGTGGGACAGGACCGAAGCCTAGACTCTCAGGAGACACCACATGTTACATGTGCCTCCCTGTGGGACAGGACCGAAGCCTAGACTCTCAGGAGACACCACATGTTACATGTGCCTCTCTGTGGGACAGGACCGAAGCCTAGACTCTAAGGAGACACCACATGTTACATGTGCCTCCCTGTGGGACAGGACCGAAGCCTAGACTCTCAGGAGACACCACATGTTACATGTGCCTCTCTGTGGGACAGGACCGAAGGCCTAGACTCTCAGGAGACACCACATGTTACATGTGCCTCTCTGTGGGACAGGACCGAAGGCCTAGACTCTCAGGAGTCACCACATGTTACATGTGCCTCTCTGTGGGACAGGACCGAAGGCCTAGACTCTCAGGAGTCAAGCTTGATATGGACACATGCTGTTCTAATCAAGGTGTACATATCGAAGATTCGGGGTAGAATAGGTCTTCAGCAACCCATGCTTGTCGTAAGAGGCGACTAACGAGATGGGGTGGTGAGGCTCGCTGACTTGGTTGATGCATGTCATCGATCCCAACTGCGTGGATCGATGTCAATCACTGGATTGTCTGGTCCAGACTCGATTATTTACAGATCGTTTTCATATAGCTGGAATATTGCTGAGTGCGGTGTAAAACAACAAAGAAACAAACATATCAGTTCCAGTAATGATGTACAGCAGAATGAAAGATTGCCTGTTCACTCTCGTTGTGCTCCTTGTCCTATTGGATATACACTGACAACATATATACACTGACATGAGTAAGTGAGTATGGTTTTACGCGGTTTATAGCACTTTTCAGCATAATCACGGCGGTGCACACCAGAAGTGGGCTTCACACAATGTACCCGTACTCACATCAATGTAGGAGAGAAGATGAGAACTAAATCCATATTCACGCCGATCATGGTGTGGATTTCTTTGATTAGCATGTTATCCAGGACTAGTTTAGCTAAAGCTAAACATTGTTTTGTTTATTTGTGATCTTATGGACTGGGATTACAAGCATTTGTTTGGATGAACAAATGTGGAACAAGGGGCACATATGTTGAATTGTCTAGTAGAGTCACAAGGATATTTTTTTCAATTGAAATTTATTATTAGCTGAGTATTCCTCAAGGGTTTGAAAGGACTTGTTTCGTAACGTTGTTGTTCTGTCATAATGGGTATGCTAGTATAAATATCACCTGACAGTACATATATGTACAGTGTATATGGCGTCACCAACCTTGAGAGGTAGTCATCTAATCATTACGTATCACAAGTAGAAACACAGTGGTCATTTGCTGACTTTATTGCAGAGAGGTTCCCAGAATAAATATGGTGCTCCTTCTGATCTTCCTTGCCTTCTTGGCAACATCTGTTCGTGAGGCAACAACTGATTTTGAAGCACCGTGTGTATGCTCTAGTAGCAGATACAGTTCTCCACCAATCCGGACCGGTCCGGGAAGGAGGCATCCGATTCTTGGCAACCTTTGGGGAGGACTCTGTATCCCCTTTGAAGGCGATCGGACATCGACCTGGTTGCATGTCAATTTCAACGGCAGGGTGGGTACGTGTCTATAATGAATACATTTGTGTATAATGCATCAATCAGACACAAACAGTTGGATAAAGCGTTTTTTTTTACTAAACGGTGGAATGTGTAATTGAAGGTCCGCAGGTCCAGGTTCAAACTAAATACCAGCTCTGATTGATGTTTTGTATGTCTGGGTCCAGCCTGTGCTGGTGCATTTCACTAAATTGGTAGACGTCTAAGACATAGGGCTAGTCTCACACCAAACGCTGGCATTCCGTGATATGAATGGAGTTCTTTTCAAAACGGCCTTGAACCCCATTTCACTAACTACCTCAAGATTGCCTGAATCCTCCAAAATGTGTTTAAATTTCAATCATTGCAATGTAAAAGTTTCGGTAGTGATCTCCCTTTGTCTCAACAACAGTCTGAGATTTTATCATGTCCAGATAATTCTTCGTGGAGTAAGTTAACTTTATGTCTTTAAGATAATTTAATGTCATACCTGTTGCAGAGAGATTCCTGGGTCTCGGAGTTCGATGTGGATATCACCCCATGCTGGTATCAGTCCGATGCTTCCGGCACCACAGGTAAAACCTCACGTCACAAACCTTCATGTCTATCCATTAAGTTACCAGTTATACATCCTCAATCTACGTAGGTCATTGGTGGTACATCGCAAATGAAGTAGAAACTCATCTCAAAAGTATTCGTTACATGCCGAAATAGACCAGTGTTTGAAAGCAGGTGAAATGTGACTTTTCAGCAAGAAAATGTATGCTCAGAAAATTTTGAAATGTAGACACCAAAGGCTGAAGCTGCTGAAATACATCTTCCCAAGGCAAGAGAGTTAACTGACTATAACAGTCCAGTTTCCATCCTTGTCGAACTAGGCTGGAATTATTGAGTTAAATTTTGGCTGGACTAACGAGTCTATGTATAGTCCAATCAAAATCGCGCAACGAAATCGAAATCCGGTTTGTTAACTGTCGTGCAGATTTCGGTCGATTGCAGTATTTGCAAAGCATGTGCACCACCAACTCGTTGTCTGCATACATTTTCCAAATCTTTTCATGTTTTTAATAAAGCTGCTCAAGTGATTTGATGCACTTCGGGATCTAAGACCCGTTTTATCACAATATAGATCTTGATTATTGATCAGATCGTCCTGACTGGGCGCCGCCATTTTATTTGAAACAAATGCAAGTGATACGAGAGGCGGAATCTGATTGGTCCATAAGATAGGCTTAGAAGGGACATAACTGGCGATAGCCACTGGTGGCGCTACGATCGAGCCCAGTAATTCCAGCCTTGTTCGGCAAGGATGGAAACTGGACTTTTAAAGTCAGTTAACTCCCTTACCTCGGGAAGCTGCTGAAATATTGCTCGACATATATGGAACATTTGAAGGCATCCCTCTTGGCAAGTTTAAGTCAACCCTCCTGGCATACAAACTAGAGGTCAACTCTTTACAGGTAGTACCAGCTTTGACTGTCCCCGCATTATTAGCAGAGAAGAGTGGGGTGCTAGATCTCCAAGTTCTATCACCAATCTTACCGCGGCTGCGAGATACGCATTTATTCATCATGGAGAGAGTAGGACCTGCTCCGGTCAAAGCTCCTGCTCCGCCATTGTCAGGAGCTATCAGAACTACCATATGGACACCAACGGTGAGTGAGTGAGCGAGTGAGTGAGTGAGTGAGTGAGTGAGTGAGTGGGTTGGTGATGGTTATAGGGTATGTTGGTGATTGAGTTACACAGGTCGATATGTACATGAACAACTCTACCAGTACATATCAACCCATTCACTGTTTTTCGACCCGTGAAGATCCTGGGTAGAATTGGTCTTCAGCAACCCATGCTTGTCGTAAGAGGCGACTAACGGGATCGGGTGGTCAGGCTCGCTGACTTGATTGATTCATGTCACCGTTTGCGTGGATCGATGCTCATGGTATTAATCACTGGATTGTCTGGTCCAGACTCGATTATTTACACTCAGCAATATAGCTGGAATATTGCTGAGTGATGCGTTAAACAACAAACACACACTATTTTTTATGTTGTCACGAGTTTTATTGTGCAATCAAACGTTCAGAAGTATATTAATGTATAGTCAGAGATTAACTGTTTGTGTCGGTTATGACCAAACTGTACTACCTGTGATTATCCCTCAGGCTGGACCGACATCGGCTTCAACTTCCTCATCGGCGAGGACGGCAACGTCTACGAGGGTCGAGGCTGGGACAGGGAACCAGCTTACACCCGGGGATACGACAGTGACAGTTTGGGTAAGTCATGGATAAGGCAGGGACTCACATCCAGTGGCTATATCAGTGCGGGTCTGGTCAACAGTGATGGGACGGGCTCCCACCCAGGGATACAACAGTGTTGGTCTGGTTAACTCAGTGATGGGACGCGCTCACACCCGGGGCTACAACAGTGTTGGTCTGGTTAACTCAATGATGGGACGGGCTCACGCCCAGGGCTACAACAGTGTTGGTCTGGTTAACTCAGTGGTGGGACGGGCTCACACCCAGGGCTATGACAGTGTTGGTCTAGTTAAATCAGTGATGGGACAGGCCACAGTGAGGGCTACAACATTGTTGGTCTGGTTAAATCAGTAATTGGACGGGCTCACACCCAGGGCTACAACAGTGTTGGTCTGGTTAACTCAGTGATGGGACGGGCTCACACCCAGGGCTACAACACTGATGGTCTGGTTAACTCAGTGATGGGACGGGCTCACACCCAAGGCTACAACACTGATGGTCTGGTTAACTCAGTGATGGGACGGGCTCACACCCAAGGCTACAACACTGATGGTCTGGTTAACTCAGTGATGGGACGGGCTCACACCCAGGGCTACAACACTGATGGTCTGGTTAACTCAGTGATGGGACGGGCTCACACCCAAGGCTACAACACTGATGGTCTGGTTAACTCAGTGATGGGACGGGCTCACACCCAGGGCTACAACACTGATGGTCTGGTTAACTCAGTGATGGGACGGGCTCACACCCAGGGCTACAACACTGGTGGTCTGGTTAACACAGTGATGGGACGGCCTCACAGCAAGGCCTACATGAGTGATGGCCTGGTTAAATCAATAATAGGACAGGGGTTAACATCAATGGCTATACTAGTGTTTGTCCGTGTGTCACTGAAGGGACAGAGGCTCAAACTCGGGGCAGCAACAGTGTTGGCCTGGTTAAATCAATGATAGGACAGGGGTTCTTAACAATGGCTACACTAGTGTTTGTCTGTGTGTCACTGAAGGGACAGAGGCTCAAACTCGGGGCAGCAACAGTGTTGGCCTGGTTAAATCAATGATAGGACAGGGGTTCTTAACAATGGCTACACTAGTGTTTGTCTGTGTGTCACTGAAGGGACAGAGGCTCAAACTCGGGGCAGCAACAGCATTGGCCTGGTTAAATCAATGATAGGACAGGGGTTCTTACCAATGGCTACACTAGTGTTTGTCTGTGTGTCACTGAAGGGACAGAGGCTCAAACTCGGGGCAGCAACAGTGTTGGCCTGGTTAAATCAATGATAGGACAGGGGTTCTTAACAATGGCTACACTAGTGTTTGTCTGTGTGTCACTGAAGGGACAGAGGCTCAAACTCGGGGCTACAACAGTGTTGGTCTGGTTAAATCAATGATAGAACAGGGGCTCACACCAATGGCTACACTAGTGTTTGTCTGCGTGTGTCACTGAAGGGACAGAGGCTCAAACGCGGGGCTACAACAGTGTTGGTCTGGTTAAATCAATGATAGGACAGGGCTTCTTACCAATGGCTATACTAGTGTTTGTCTGCGTGTCACTGAAGGGACAGAGGCTCAAACTCGGGGCGGAAACAGTGTTGGTCTGGTTAAATCAATGATAGGACAGGGGCTCACACCAATGGCTACACTAGTGTTTGTCTGCGTGTCACTGAAGGGACAGAGGCTCAAACGCGGGGCTACAACAGTGTTGGTCTGGTTAAATCAATGATAGGACAGGGGCTCACACCAATGGCTACACTAGTGTTTGTCTGCGTGTCACTGAAGGGACAGAGGCTCAAACGTGGGGCTACAACAGTGTTGGTCTGGTTAAATCAATGATAGGACAGGGCTTCTTACCAATGGCTATACTAGTGTTTGTCTGCGTGTCACTGAAGGGACAGAGGCTCAAACTCGGGGCAGAAACAGTGATGGTCTGGTTAAATCAATGATAGGACAGGGGCTCACACCAATGGCTACACTAGTGTTTGTCTGCGTGTCACTGAAGGGACAGAGGCTCAAACGCGGGGCTACAACAGTGTTGGTCTGGTTAAATCAATGATAGGACAGGGCTTCTTACCAATGGCTACACTAGTGTTTGTCTGCGTGTCACTGAAGGGACAGAGGCTCAAACGCGGGGCTACAACAGTGTTGGTCTGGTTAAATCAATGATAGGACAGGGTTTCTTACCAATGGCTACACTAGTGTTTGTCTGTGTGTCACTGAAGGGACAGAGGCTCAAACTCGGGGCAGCAACAGTGTTGGCCTGGTTAAATCAATGATAGGACAGGGGTTCTTAACAATGGCTATACTAGTGTTTGTCTGTGTGTCACTGAAGGGACAGAGGCTCAAACGTGGGGCTACAACAGTGTTGGTCTGGTTAAATCAATGATAGGACAGGGGCTCACACCAATGGCTACACTAGTGTTTGTCTGCGTGTGTCACTGAAGGGACAGAGGCTCAAACTCGGGGCTACAACAGTGTTGGTCTGGTTAAATCAATGATAGGACAGGGGTTCTTAACAATGGCTATACTAGTGTTTGTCTGTGTGTCACTGAAGGGACAGAGGCTCAAACGTGGGGCTACAACAGTGTTGGTCTGGTTAAATCAATGATAGGACAGGGGCTCACACCAATGGCTACACTAGTGTTTGTCTGCGTGTGTCACTGAAGGGACAGAGGCTCAAACTCGGGGCTACAACAGTGTTGGTCTGGTTAAATCAATGATAGGACAGGGGTTCTTAACAATGGCTATACTAGTGTTTGTCTGCGTGTCACTGAAGGGACAGAGGCTCAAACTCGGGGCAGGAACAGTGATGGTCTGGTTAAATCAATGAGAGGACAGGGGCTCACACCAATGGCTACACTAGTGTTTGTCTGCGTGTCACTGAAGGGACAGAGGCTCAAACTCGGGGCAGGAACAGTGATGGTCTGGTTAAATCAATGATAGGACAGGGGCTCACACCAATGGCTACACTAGTGTTTGTCTGCGTGTCTCACTGAAGGGACAGAGGCTCAAACTCGGGGCAGGAACAGTGTTGGTCAGGGACAGGGAGTGACTGAACTGGATAGGGGTAAATCATTTCCCATAACATTCACAAAGCTTTTACCGCTGCAATGACGTCGACATAAGCATTGTTTTGAGAACCAAGTTGGAGCCATCTTGCATGTGTCCAGGTGGATTAGATGTAGCTTATTATGAACATATATGGCCGCAGCCTTCAACATCTGCTGATGAAATATTGATATGATTCCCGAGTCTGAAACAGGATATTCCTTATATTTTTCTCCAGGTTTCTGCATGATTGGTAACTTTACGACGCACGTCCCCAACAGTGCGGCCCTCAACACCCTCAAGGACCTCATTGCTTGCGGCGTCAACATGGGCAAGATTCGGTGCAGCTACATCCTCAGAGGCCACCGCGACATGGGCAACACCGACTGTCCCTGGACAGCCCTGTACAACCTCATCAGAACATGGCCACACTATTGAAATGTTCATTTCGTAAGGAATAAAATGACAATCATAATATTATTTTGAATAAGGACAATCATACACAACTATTTCTGTTTCCACAACCCTCCTCATCAGTGATCCTGTTGGTTGATTAATTCACTATACATAATAGCAAAGAATGCATAAGAATCGATTGGGAAGCTGTTACGGAACATAAGAATTAATTACGAATGGATTACAATACAGCCACGAAATTGCAATTCGGGGACCCTTCCACAAACAAAACCTTTCTCGCCGAACTCCCCCGAACTGTACGAATGTTTGGGAATGAAGAAAAAGATTCATTTAAGAACTTCAAGAAATGATTGAGATTTATCTAAGAACATGACAAATTTCCGATTCGGTGTGATTCGTGATATTCGTGGTGTAGTGAAATGGGGGCATAATTAAGTGAGTGATCTTTTCTTGCTGGCCTACGCGACCGGAAACTAGCTTTTATTCCCTTTGTGACTTGCACGATCCGGAACCTAGACTCAATGATATTTTCCTGTTGACCTGCATGATCAGAAACTAGTAGTCATATTGCCCCTGGACTACCGGAAACTAGTGATCATTTCCTTTTGAATTGCACGACCACAAGAATGTATTATGATTTCCTGTTGCCCTGATCACATGAACAGCCGGAAACTGGTGTTCATTTTGCCCCCCACGACTGGAAACTAATGACCATTAACTCTGGTCCTGCACGGCCGGTAACTAGGGATCATGTCCTGTTGTCCTGCACTACCGGAAAGTGGTAGTTACATCCTGTTGTCGTGCACGACGAAAATGCCCAGGAAACATTCTTCAAGGTCAAGGTCATGTTCACGCTCTGCGATCATTTTCTTTTGTCACACAAGTTAGGAAAGAAGCAATGAATGTATTATAATAATAATCATTATATTGTCATGCACTATGAAATTTCGTGATCATTTCCGGTTGACCAACACCACCGGAAACTAAGGTATAGTTTCTGTTGCTGAGCACAACCGAAAATTAATAACCGTTAATTAGTTTCCTTTTTCCCTTTACGACAAGAAACTAGTAATCACTTCCTGTTGCTCTGTACTACCGGAAGTTGCCATGAAACATCCTTTTAGGTCAAGGTCGTATTCATGCTCTCTTACTGATGGTGTGAAATATCTTCTTCACCCCCCATGCCTTGTCATGATGCCACCCCCAAACTAAAAACAACGATAAAATACATGTATGTAAATGCAAATAATGCAGAACACCAGAATATCCTTATTTTTTAATTTATTTCCGAACTGGAAGAAAACACTTGGGTGGGTGGCAGTTGTTCCAGTACTCGTTCATCTGGTTGACATATTCCTGTGTCTCACAGCGGCTGGCGGCACAACAGACGCCGGTGACTGGTCTGTAACAGGCTAACCCTGCAAACACAGAACAGAGGCGTGAACACAATATCCCAGCATCATATATATATATAGTTTCAATCTGTTATAGGGGGCACGGGTGGCGATTCGCGGTGCAGAGTTGCGTCCCTTGGACACGACAGAAACCTATGATTGTGGGTTCGAATCCCGGTTCGCCCCGATTATGTTTCTAGGTTTGTCAGCACCATACCCGTGCTTGTGGGTTTCACCGAAGTGGGTAACGTCTGAGACCTGCATCACGGGCTTTCCTCCCACATTAAGCTGACACGCCGTGATGTGACTGGAACACTGTTAAAAGCGGCGTTTAACCCAACTCACTCACTCACTAACTCAATTTGTTATAACGTCTCAGGAAACAACCGCTTTGATGGCCAATGTTTCATCACGGGTATTCCAAAGGACCAAGTGTGAAGCCCATTTCTGGTGTCCCCAGCCGTGATATTGCTGGAATATTGCTAAAAGCGGCGTAAAACCAAACTCACTCACTCACTCACTCCAAAGGACCAAACATTTGTTTTGAGCAAAATCACAAAAACCTTCGAAACTCATTGAACATTGATAATCTTTCCTATGACATGTCACTCCGGAATTTTTTTTCGAAGTGGTACAGCTGGTAGTATTGCCAAATACAAGTCTGCATGATACTTCTGGAATATTGCTCATTGCAGGCCGCCCCGGTACAGCTGTGGTAATGCTGACTACAGGTCGCCGTGGTACAGCTGTGATATCGCTGAGTACAGGTCGCCCCGGTACAGCTGTGATATTGTTGAGTACAGGTCGCCGTGGTACAGCTGTGATATTGTTGAGTACAGGTCGCCGTGGTACAGCTGTGATAATGCTGACTACAGGTCGCCGTGGTTCAGCTGTGACATTGCTGACTACAGGTCGCCGTGGTACAGCTGTGATATTGTTGAGTACAGGTCGCCGTGGTACAGCTGTGATATTGCTGACTACAGGTCGCCGTGACACAGCTGTGATATTGCTGACTACAGGTCGCCGTGACACAGCTGTGATAATGCTGACTGCAGGTCGCCGTGACACAGGTGTGACATTGCTGACTACAGGTCGCCGTGGTACAGCTGTGATATTGCTGAGTACAGGTCGCCCTGGTACAGCTGTGATATTGCTGACTACAGGTCGCCGTGACACAGCTGTGACATTGCTGACTACAGGTCGCCGTGGTACAGCTGTGATATTGCTGAGTACAGGTCGCCGTGGTACAGCTGTGATATTGCTGAGTACAGGTCGCCGTGACACAGCTGTGATATTGCTGACTACAGGTCGCCGTGGTACAGCTGTGATATTGCTGAGTACAGGTCGCCCCGGTACAGCTGTGATATTGCTGAGTACAGGTCGCCGTGGTACAGTTGTGATATTGCTGAGTACAGGTCGCCGTGATACAGCTGTGATATTGCTGACTACAGGTCGCCGTGACAAAGCTGTGATATTGCTGACTACAGGTCGCCGTGACAGAGCTGTGATATTGCTGACTACAGGTCGCCGTGGTACAGCTGTGATATTGCTGAGTACAGGTCGCCGTGACACAGCTGTGATATTGCTGACTACAGGTCGCCGTGGTACAGCTGTGATATTGCTGAGTACAGGTCGCCGTGGTACAGCTGTGATATTGCTGACTGCAGGTCGCCGTGGTACAGCTGTGATATTGCTGACTACAGGTCGCCGTGACACAGATGTGATATTGCTGACTACAGGTCGCCGTGGTACAGCTGTGATGTTGCTGAGTACAGGTCGCCGTGACAGAGCTGTGATATTGCTGACTACAGGTCGCCGTGGTACAGCTGTGATATTGCTGAGTACAGGTCGCCATGGTACAGCTATGATATTGCTGAGTACAGGTCGCCGGACACAGCTGTGATATTGCTGACTACAGGTCGCCGTGGTACAGCTGTGATATTGCTGACTACAGGTCGCCGTGACACAGCTGTGATATTGCTGACTACAGGTCGACGTGGTACAGCTGTGATATTGCTGAGTACAGGTCGCCGTGATACAGCTGTGATATTGCTGACTACATGTCGCCGTGGTACAGCTGTGATATTGCTGAGTACAGGTCGCCGTGATATAGCTGTGATATTGCTGACTACAGGTCGCCGTGGTACAGCTGTGATATCGCTGACTACAGGTCGCCGTGGTACAGCTGTGATATCGCTGACTCATGTCGCCGTGATACAGCTGTGATATCGCTGACTACAGGTCGCCGTGGTACAGCTGTGATATCGCTGACTACAGGTCGCCGTGGTACAGCTGTGATATTGCTGAGTACAGGTCGCTGTGACACAGCTGTGATATTGCTGAGTACAGGTCGCCGCGGTGGTACAGCTGTGATATTGCTGACTACATGTCGCCGTGACAGAGCTGTGATATTGCTGACTCCAGGTCGACGTGGTACAGCTGTGACATTGCTGAGTACAGGTCGCCGTGACACAGCTGTAATATTGCCGAGTACAGGTCGCCATGGTACAGCTGTGATATTGCTGACTCCAGGTCGACGTGGTACAGCTGTGATATTGCTGACTCCAGGTCGACGTGGTACAGCTGTGATATTGCTGAGTACGGGTCTCCGTGACACAGCTGTGATATTGCTGAGTCCAGGTCGCCATGGTACAGCTGTGATATTGCTGACTCCAGGTCGACGTGGTACAGCTGTGATATTGCTGACTCCAGGTCGATGTGGTACAGCTGTGATATTGCTGAGTACAGGTCGCCGTGACAGAGCTGTGATATTGCTGACTACAGGTCGCCGCCGTGACACAGCTGTGATATTGCTGAGTACAGGTCGCCGTGGTACAGCTGTGATATTGCTGACTACAGGTCGCCGTGGTACAGCTGTGATATTGCTGACTACAGGTCGCCGTGACACAGCTGTGATATTGCTGAGTACAGGTCGCCGTGACACAGCTGTGATATTGCTGAGTACAGGTCGCCGCCGTGACACAGCTGTGATATTGCTGAGTAGAGGTCGCCGTGGTACAGCTGTGATATTACTGAGTACAGGTCGCCGTGGTACAGCTGTGATATTGCTGACTACATGTCGCCGTGGTACAGCTGTGATATTGCTGACTACCGGTCGCCGTGACAGAGCTGTGATATTGCTGAGTACAGGTCGCCATGGTACAGCTGTGATATTGCTGAGTACAGGTCGCCGTGACAGAGCTGTGATATTGCTGACTACAGGTCGCCGCCGTGACACAGCTGTGATATTGCTGAGTACAGGTCGCCGCCGTGACACAGCTGTGATATTGCTGACTACCGGTCGCCGTGACAGAGCTGTGATATTGCTGACTACATGTCGCCGTGGTACAGCTGTGATATTGCTGAGTACAGGTCGACGTGGTACAGTTGTGATATTGCTGACTACATGTCGCCGTGGTACAGCTGTGATATTGCTGACTACCGGTCGCCGTGACAGAGCTGTGATATTGCTGAGTACAGGTCGCCGCCGTGACACAGCTGTGATATTGCTGACTACCGGTCGCCGTGACAGAGCTGTGATATTGCTGACTACATGTCGCCGTGGTACAGCTGTGATATTGCTGAGTACAGGTCGACGTGGTACAGCTGTGATATTGCTGACTCCAGGTCGACGTGGTACAGCTGTGATATTGCTGACTCCAGGTCGACGTGGTACAGCTGTGATATTGCTGAGTACAGGTCGCCGTGACAGAGCTGTGATATTGCTGACTACAGGTCGCCGCCGTGACACAGCTGTGATATTGCTGAGTACAGGTCGCCGCCGTGACACAGCTGTGATATTGCTGACTACCGGTCGCCGTGACAGAGCTGTGATATTGCTGACTACATGTCGCCGTGGTACAGCTGTGATATTGCTGAGTACAGGTCGACGTGGTACAGCTGTGATATTGCTGACTACATGTCGCCGTGGTACAGCTGTGATATTGCTGACTACCGGTCGCCGTGACAGAGCTGTGATATTGCTGAGTACAGGTCGCCATGGTACAGCTGTGATATTGCTGACTCCAGGTCGACGTGGTACAGCTGTGATATTGCTGACTCCAGGTCGACGTGGTACAGCTGTGATATTGCTGAGTACAGGTCGCCGTGACAGAGCTGTGATATTGCTGACTACAGGTCGCCGCCGTGACACAGCTGTGATATTGCTGAGTACAGGTCGCCGCCGTGACACAGCTGTGATATTGCTGACTACCGGTCGCCGTGACAGAGCTGTGATATTGCTGACTACATGTCGCCGTGGTACAGCTGTGATATTGCTGAGTACAGGTCGACGTGGTACAGCTGTGATATTGCTGACTACATGTCGCCGTGGTACAGCTGTGATATTGCTGACTACCGGTCGCCGTGACAGAGCTGTGATATTGCTGAGTACAGGTCGCCATGGTACAGCTGTGATATTGCTGACTCCAGGTCGACGTGGTACAGCTGTGATATTGCTGACTCCAGGTCGACGTGGTACAGCTGTGATATTGCTGAGTACAGGTCGCCGTGACAGAGCTGTGATATTGCTGACTACAGGTCGCCGCCGTGACACAGCTGTGATATTGCTGAGTACAGGTCGCCGCCGTGACAGAGCTGTGATATTGCTGACTACATGTCGCCGTGGTACAGCTGTGATATTGCTGAGTACAGGTCGCCGTGACACAGCTGTGATATTGCTGAGTACAGGTCGCCATGGTACAGCTGTGACTGGTCGCCATTATTCACTCACATCGACTCACACTGACTCACACTGACTCACCTATTGCACACGGGCAGCCTCCGCTGCACACTTCCTTCAGCTTGGCTGGGCCTGGCTTACACCTACCAT